GTACTGTTGACGCCTATAAATAGAGATCTCTCTTAGTTTAGCTCCTTCGGTTGATAAGAATCGACACAGGGATCGTGAAATTTCCAATTTATAGTGCAACATTCTGAAAAGAAATACAGAGCATACTCTACATAGATTTGCCAGCATTTGTTGGATTTAATCATGTCTGTCAGCAGAATACATACATGTCACTTGAATACACTCACATGACATTAACCACAGTGTCACCTTCTGGTTCTCAGGTGACAATGCTCAAGGCTCATTGATTACTACAATTACTGCTGGCTGCCCGCAGTCCAGAATTCAGAAATCCGAAATATTCTGGAATTTTTAGCACTGCATTAACAAACTTTACAGTTCTCAGTTTTTTGAAATATTCTCGATTATGTGAGAAACCGCTGTTACGTCCCGTCCTTCATCCCTTCAATCTTTCATCACAAGCCATATTTTCTGATGCAAAACCAGACAAGACCCTGCCTCTATCCCTAATGAAGAACGGATGGTCAAACGCTATCAGAAGTTCTCCACCTTCCACTTATGAGCATGATTCGTCATTACTGATTTTGTCTGCAGGTTCAAAAGGGAGAACACATCAAACACACTCGAATTTCATGCTTGTGTTTAATCATTGAGGCAGCCTTTTCAAACCCCTATCTTCCACCTCCTTTTCCTTCCCGTTCTTCAACCCCACTCCTCCCTTCCAACCTGTAAAAGCTGCATTAAAATGGTCTTCTGCACCGAATGACGTGGCACTGCAACGAAACCCGGATTGCTTTATGGAATTACTAAGGGAGTTTCTTTCATTTGCAATTTGGAAGTAATTGCAATACCGCCTTCAGAGACATACATAGCTTCACTCTCACATTCGACAGCCCTCTGGGATAGAAAATCATTGTTTCGGGCCAAAAATATTCCTATTTAAACCAAGCAGATTGACTCCTTTGTGTATTCAAATGGAGAATTTTGGTAAGAAAACGCGTTAAATGGTTTTAATAGTTTATACTTCGAATTTAACTTCACCTTTGCAGATCAAAATCCCTGATGGGAAAGAAGGTGGATTGACAAAATCTCGGTGAAACTTAGTCACCCACCTGCCCTATATGATATTTCCGTGATCGAATATTGCACAGATTAGATCGTCGCCCAGGTTACCAATGGCCAAACAAGATATCGAAAAGGTGACGGAGGCTAGGAAATGTCGTTTATTTGAAGCTACAACAGGCTAAATCGATGACCTTGGTACAGGTCTATGCGCCCAGTTTGGAGGGAGAATATGAAACCTTCCTTGAGGAAGCGCCGAATACAAAGTCCCTCATACTCATGGGCGGTTTTAATGCGCACGTCTGAGTAGACGCAGGAAAGTGGAACT